TTATATTAGCGAATTTGACCAGTGAAATATATCAACGGTTGATGAAAAGATATTTGAAAAAATTAGCTGTTTAGATTAACATGTAAAATGACCTAAGGGTATACATATATTTAATAATAATAATAATAATAATAATAATAATAATAATAATAATAATAATAATAATAATAATAATAATAATAATAATAATAATAATTGTTATAAAAAAATAAAAAAATATATAATTAAGCCAATCGTATTAACTACTTGGGGAATTTTTTGACAAAAAGGGTATTCAAATCACAGAAACAAATTGAAGTGGGAAACTATCCCGCAATGCCCTTGTTTGGCAATCAGTACTTAGCTCTTCAATATTAGTATATATTTAATATTTTATGCCCTAATTTTTATTTGCTCTCCATTATGTCCCGTATTTGGTTTCAACCCTACCTATACAATTATTTTATTGACAATTATAATCAACCTTAACTATATTATCTTGCATTTGTAAACTTTGAATTGCCTATTTAAATACGCAAATTTAACATTCAATTATTTATGCATGAACAATTCCAATATAATCTTACCTTGATATACTTTGAAGTACTTATTTAAAAAAAAAATATTGGGCATTATCTCAATCGCGCAATGCGCGTAAAAAACTAGTATACTAATAAGATCCAAAGAGAGTTAGGCTTATAATGGGTAGAAAAAATGACGGTCAAATTTTTTAATCAAATGAATGGCTCAGATTGATCCAATTTTAATATTTCCTTGAGATTTCCTAATTTATCTTTAATTATATGATTATCCGTTAACTTTCCCGTTAAATATTATCTTTTCCGTTAAATTCTGTTAGTTCACCATTAACATACTCATTGATTTCAATAAAAAAAAAAGGTTTTAGGTTCAAACCACATCCCAATCAAAGTTGGTATAATTAGTACTCTATTTTACTCTTATTAAATTAAATAATAATTTAGTAGCTACAACAAAAAATAATACATATGCATTTCTTTAATTTAGAATTATGTGTCTACAATGCCTTTATTAAAAAAAATTATTCATTATCAATTAATTAACTAAGAGAAATAATTTCATTAGTTATATTGTCTTTATTTTTTCCGATATAAAAATTCTTTCCATTCAAATTCATCAATTGATTATATTCGCTACATTGTCCCTACAATGTCTTTATTCAAAAAAAAAATATTCATTATCAATAATTTAATTAAGAGAAATAATTTCATTACTTATATTGTCTTTATTTTTCTCCAATGTAAAAATTCTTTACATTCAAATTCATCAATTGATTATATTCACTACAGTGCCTATTATATTTTTTGTGCACTATTTTTTTAATTAAATAGCAAAGTTATAATACACAATAATGCTATATATTTATTTACCAAGTATTTTATTAATACCATGAAAAAATTTAAAAATATATATAATTAATAAAGCCAATCATATTAACTACTTGAGGGATTGACAAAGAGAGTATTCAAATCATGCAACAAATTGAAGTGAGAAACTACCTCGCAATGTACTTGTTTGACAATCAACAGTTAGCGGTTAGTGTTAGTGGATTTGACTAGCGAAATATATCAACGGTGGGTAAAAATATATTTGAAAAAATTAGTTGTTTAGATTAACATGTAAAATGACCTAAGGGTATACATATATTTAATAATAATAATAACAATAATAATAATAATAAGAGTTAATGAACGATTTAATCCCTCAATTATTAGCGAACTGTCAATATAGTCCTTCAATTGCTTATTCATCGATTTGGTCCCCGAAAACAATTATTTTTAGTCGATTTAATCCCTCAGGCCGTCTTTTGCCGACAGCCGGAGGGACTAAATCGACTAAAAATAATTATTTTCGGGGACCAAATCGACGGCCGGAGGGACTAAATTGACAAAAAATAATTATTTTTGAGGACCAAATCGATGAATAAGCAATTGAAGGACTACATTGACAGTTCGCTAATAATTGAGGGACCAAATCGTTGATTAACTCTAATAATAATAATAATAATAATAATAATAATAATAATAATAATAATAATAATAATAATAATAATAATAATAATAATAATAATAATAATATAATAATAATAATAATAATATTTTTTTTTAAAAAAATAAAATAAAAAAAAATAATAATTTAATAAAAAGAAATTATAAAAAAAAAAAAAAACATATATGGACCCGAACGTTCGGCTCCCCTTAGTTTTGCCACTTTTCCCACATCGGTGGGAAAAGTGGCATAGGAGCCTTGAGACTCCTATAAAAGGAGCCTTAAGGCTCTGTTAGTGTTTTTATATGTCCAAAAACCCCATATTATAATTGGCAATATTATTATGGCATACTAAGATAGGTTTAGAGTCTGTTCGTTTGGTTCTACAGCTAACTGATCAATCAGAAGCAACAACAGAAGAACTGACACTAAAGATCTGATTTAGGAAGCTGTTTCCTTAAAAGGCTCACGCGGTTTTATTAGACCAGTATGGAAAGATGATCAGCGTATATTTTCAAGAAAGGTATGGACCTAATCTTCTGAGATTACATTATTATTTTATAGTCCTACCTTCTACAATCAAAGTCAACTATGGAGAGTGTTTATTGAAGGATCTATAAGTACCCTTATTTGACAAGAATTAGGGTTACGCCGAAAATAAGAAGAAACACTCCATATCTGCTATATGAGACTAGAACTTTGATTGACATGCGACTTCTCAGTACAATATGTTCATGGTGATTAAGATGATGGACTTGAGAAGAGATACTGCTACTTAAATCGAGAGGACACTGTGATCGCACTGTTGTGGGAACAACCTTATAGAGCGTCATTGAAGTGGACTGCATCAGAGTGAGCTCTCCAAGTGAAGGGATTTCATTGGACTTCTGAATGCATGGCTCTCCATCTTCAACAATCCACTAAACCTGTGTAGACTGGGTTTGTACCTTGTGTGGGGCACTTGGGTAAGATTACTGTATATCTACCTTTGTACATTGGATTATGATTTAGTGGATTGGACGCCTATGTGATCGTCCCCCATATGTAGATACACACCGTATCGAACTGGGTAAACATTCTGTGTCTTTGGCTTTTGTGCGGTTATCTTTCCTTTATATTCTCGTCTTGATTTATCGTTACTGATTGTCCTCTTAACTGAATCAATCAGTAATCTAAGTCAGTTATCTAATTCTGTCAATTTTCATAAAATGAGGAATTGCAAAATTACATGTGGTATCAGAGCTTTTAAGTCTACATAGTGACTTGATCCGAAGGGCTGTTTTAGTTTTGCATTCTCTCGTTTTGTTTGTGCGAGTCTGTCTGTGTGTTCGTTAGCTGGTTGTTATATTCAGGATGGATGCATGTATGAAACCACCAGAACAAGATGGTCACAACTACTCTTTCTGGAAGGCTCGTATGGAGATATATCTTCAAGCACAAGGTACCAGGGTTTATCGCACCATCCTAACTGGGTGGAGTCGGCCTACTACCCCAAATGCACAAGGAGTTGCTGAAGAAAAACCCATGGAAACTTGGACAGACGATGAAATGAATGTCTCTGATCTGAACAACAAAGCATTGAACTCAATTGTAGGATCACTGCATGAATATGTTTTTACGCTTGTTACAGGAGTAAAAGAGGCTAAACGTGTATGGGAGATTCTTGAAACCAGATTTGAAGGAACCAGTGATGTCAAACAGTCAAAGCTGCAAATGGTTCTGTCAGAATTCGAAGCACTCAGAATGATTGAAGACGAAACCATTTCGACCTTCCACAGTAGGGTTCAAAACTTGATGAACCGAGCCTCAATACTTGGGGAACCGTTCACTGATGAGAGAGTGGTCAAAAAGATCCTTAGATCTTTACCTAAACGTTTTCGAATGAAAGTAACTGCTATTCAGGAACACACAGGTTGGGAAAAAGAAGACTGTTGGAGAACTCATGGGAAGCTTACACACATACGGACTGGAAGTTCTTGCTGATGATGATATTGGAAGCAACAGGAAAGGAAAGTCGGTAACCTTTGTGGCTGAGGCTGATCGAGAATCTGACACAGACGACATAGATGATGAAACCTTAGCTCTTCTAACCAAAAACTTCAAGAAAATCTTAAAAGGTTTCAACAGAAAGGGTCAAGGTCAGCCTACCAGGACACAATACAAAGGCAACAACTCCTCATATCAAAAGGTAGAAACAACACCTTTCTCACAAAACAATCAATCTCAGACTGGGCGATCAAGACAAATCAGAAACAGTTCCACAGACTCAGGAAAACCTCTCAATCGGTCAGTACAGTGTAGGGAATGTGAAGGATACGGTCAGATACAGGCTGAATGTGCAACATATCTCAAAAGGAAAAAGGCTATGTCTGTTGCTACTCTTAGTGACGATGAGGAGGAAACTTCAAATGATCAATCAGATGATAATGTGGGAAACTTTGTAGCTTTCTTTACTGCTACAGACCTTCAGTCAGATGGAGATCAATCAGATGGAGAATCATACATATCAACTGATGACTTTGAAGAGAGACATAATCAACTTGAGACAGAATTTGCAAAACTGGTTGCCAGCTGGGAACAACTTGTGAAAGTAAATAAAAATCTGAATGACGAGCTGAAGCAAAGAGATGATCTTCTAAAGAAATTAAATGCAGAACTGATCATAAAAGAAGATCTCATCACTCAGATACGGTCCAGAGAAGGAAAATTAATCAAGGAACAGGAGAACTTGAAGAAAAATATTCAGATGATGGACACCACATCTACCTTAGATAAGATTCTAGACTCTGGCAGAAATCCTAATGATAAAAAGGGTCTGGGATTTGAACAAGGAGAATCTTCGAATAACGCAACAAAGTTCATCAAAGAGGGAATGTCTAAGACTACAGCTGATCGCAGATATGAACAAGGACAGTTATCTCAGTCAGTACAAAACTTGTCAAAGTTAAATATTACACTCTCATTTGCCACTACTGTCAAACAAAAGGTCATACTCGACCGGAGTGTTACTTCTTCTACAGAGATCAAAGGAAGGAAAAATATCAGAATAAGACTATTACACCTTTCACTAGACAGGTTTGGGTCAGAAAGTCAGAAGTTATCTGCTACCCCACCATTGTTCTGACTGCGTCTACAACTGATGCTAGATGGTATTTCGACAGTGGATGTTCCAGACATATGACTGGGAATATCAAGTGTCTGATGGCGGTCCAGCCTAGCAGTGGAGCTGTAACATATGGTGATGGACAAAAAGGTAAAATCGTTGGGAAAGGTATACTAAATGTACCAGGTTTACCTCAATTAGAAGAAGTCCTGCTAGTCAGTGGGTTGAAAGCAAATCTAATTAGCATCAGTCAGTTGTGTGATCAAAATTGGAATGTGTGCTTCGATCGTAACTGCTGCAGAGTTAGTGACAAAGAAAATCAACTGGTCATGGAAGGAACCCGGTCCTCAGACAATTGCTATGTTTTGACAAATGAAACTGCATGTCACCTATCCAAATCAGATGAATCGAAACTCTGGCATAGACGACTAGGTCACATAAACTTCAGAGATATGGATAAGCTGATCAAACTGGAAGCAGTAAAAGGTGTGCCTAAGATCAGAATTGATCCAGAAAAAAATCTGTGGTGCATGTGCCATTGGGAAACAAATCAGAATTCCACACAAAGCTGTAAGAGATATCACCACTGAGAAATGCCTAGACCTTGTCCATATAGACCTCATGGGACCAACACAGACTGAAAGCATTGGGGGAAAGAAATACATATTTGTGTGTGTAGACGACTTCTCTCGATACAGCTGGGTATACTTTCTGAGAGAAAAGACAGAAGCTTTCAAGGCCTTTAAGACGCTGTGCATAAGAGTTCAGAAGGAAAAAGATGAATCTATCATAAAAGTTCAGAGATTAAGGAGTGATCATGGAAAGGAATTTGAGAACTCACTATATTCAGACTTCTGCTCCGAGCATGGTATATCACATGAATTCTCAGCTCCTAGAACTGCTCAACAGAATGGAGTAGTGGAAAGAAAGAATCGAACTTTACAAGAAATGGCTAGAGTTATGCTGCATGCTTCACATCTGCCACAACGCTTCTGGGCTGAAGCAGTTCACACAGCGTGTCATACTATAAATAGGGTCTACCTTAGACTAGGAACGTCGAACACACCATATGAGATCTGGAAGGGAAAGAAGCCAAATTTGAAATATTTTCATGTGTTTGGGACTAAGTGTTATGTGCTGGCTGATAGAGAACAAAGAGGGAAGTTCGAACCCAAAAGTGATGAGAACATCTTTCTTGGGTATTCTCCGAACAGTCGTGCCTACAGAGTCTACAACAAGAGGACTCAGTCTGTGATGGAGTCAGTAAATGTGGTTATCGATGACAATCCGGAAGAATCAGTAGACTCAACAGTGATAGAGTCTTCTCTAAATGAGTCAGATGCGAGTAATAACAACAGTCAGCTCAAACCACAAGAATCGTCAGACGAAGATCAAGAAAGTTCGGAACAGGAGATAGATCTCATAAAGGATGTTGGTAAAGACAAACCCACCAGAACTCAGAAAAACCATCCATCAGATAACATTATTGGAGATCCAACAGATGGGATGAAGACAAGGAGCAGAATGAGAAATAATCTGACAGAAATATCTGGATCTGCTTGCTATACCTCAAAGATAGAACCTAAAAATGTCAAAGAAGCTTTACAGGATGATCTGTGGATCAAGGCAATGCAGGAGGAGCTACATCAGTTTGAGCGGAATCATGTTTGGAATCTTGTACCAAGACCTGATGGTGTCAACGTAATTGGAACGAAGTGGATCTTTAAAAATAAAACTGATGAAGCAGGGAATATAGCCAGAAACAAAGCTCGATTGGTGGCTCAAGGTTATACACAGATTGAAGGGATTGACTACGACGAGACTTTTGCTCCTGTAGCTAGACTCGAGTCAATCAGAATCTTGTTGGCTGTCGCATGCATTTTGGGATTTACATTATATCAGATGGATGTCAAGACAGCATTTCTGAATGGGTATCTCCATGAAGATATCTATGTGGCTCACCCTAAAGGTTTTGAAGATCCAGAACATCCCTCTTATGTCTATAAGGTTCGAAAAACTCTCTATGGCCTTAAACAAGCTCCACGGGCCTGGTATGAACGTCTGACACAGTATCTGCTCCAGCATGGGTATAAACGCGGAAGTGTTGACAAAACTCTGTTTGTAAAGACTACTGGAAGTCATGTAACCATAGCCCAAATCTATGTTGATGACATTGTGTTTAGATCAACCCTGCAGAAATACACTGATGAGTTGGTAAAAGTGATGGAGGAAGAGTTTGAAATGTCCATGGTTGGTCAACTGGCATACTTCCTAGGTTTACAGGTCAAGCAAAGTTTTGAAGGATATTTTATTTCGCAAGAGAAGTATGCTAAGAATCTTGTCAGAAAGTTTGATCTGGAATCATGTAAATCATCCAGAACACCCATCTCCACCTCTACAAAAGTATCGAAAGATGAAACTGGTGTATCAGTGGATAACACAGTCTATCGTAGTTTGATAGGCAGTCTGCTGTATCTAACAGCCAGTCGACCAGACATAATGTTCAGTGTTGGAATCTGTGCAAGGTGACAATCTGACCCAAAGGAATCACATCTGATAGCTGCAAAACGTATTCTAAAATATGTTAAAGGAACAATACAGTATGGTCTCTGGTATTCCAAGGACAGTGAACTAAATCTGGTTGCATACTGTGATGCTGATTGTGCAGGGAATATTGATGATCGGAAAAGTACTTCTGGAGGATGCTTCTTCGTTGGTAAGAACTTAGTATCATGGTTAAGTAAGAAACAGAACTCAATCTCTCTAAGCACTGCAGAGGCAGAATACATAGCTGCAGGTGGTTGCTGTACTCAGCTGGTTTGGATGAAACAGATGTTTCTGGACTATGGTTTAACTCAAGGAACAATGACACTTTTCTGTGACAATGTCAGTGCTATTAACATCTCCAAGAATCCTGTTCAACATTCCAGAACGAAGCATATTGACATCAGGCATCACTACATCAGAGACCTGGTTGAATCCAATGAAATTGAATTAGAACATATTCAGACAGATGAACAACTGGCGGACATTCTGACCAAGCCATTGGATGCTAATCGTTTTGAAATCCTTAGGTCTGCTCTGGGAATTTGCAGAATTGACTGATTAAAGCAGTTGGTCCGTCAGAGAGGAGTTGGTATATACAGGTCAGTGTTATGATTTGATTTTGCCTAAAAGACTCCTCTCTATTTTTGCTAAGAAGATTATTTAACCATATACTTCTCAGAGATATCTTAAAAGATATTAACTCTTTTTCGAATTTCAAATTTCCTTGGGTTCCGTTTCCTTCCTAAAAAGGAGCGGTACCGTTGTGTCAATCAATCGCATCTGCATGATATTTGACAAGTCGCATTAATTAGGATTCATCACCCTTAAGCCTATATATGATACCGGGTCAAGAAGAACATCTCATCCTTGAACACCTCAGCTTTCAACCTTCTATCTCTCTTGCAAATCTGTCTTTAGTGATCTGCTCTTCTCCAAGCACATAACCTTCAACGGCAGACCCTGTAAGAAACATCATTATCAAGCTTGGAAGCAAGACACATTCTCCGGAGGTGGCTCTTAAGCACATTCAGACGCTGCTGCAGTTTGCTATGAAGAAGAAGCTCAAACTTGATCCTCTTCTTCGCGACGAGATTTTAGTAACTGTGATGACCTATTACCCAGAGTTTTATGCAGAATGGTCTGAAGATGATGCGACTGAACTGCTTATGATGGTTTCTGAAGCCAGTGATGAAGTCTCTCCAGTATATATTCCAGAACCCTTGGATGGAAATCGGGCCGGGGCATTCCTTCAATACTTTGCACATCGAGCCCTAGAATTGGTTGAGGCCTCTCGAAGGAAAGCGAAGGCGCAACCTCTGTATCTCGCAGCTGCTCAAAAAGAGGCAACACACAGACAGGAGATTTTCCAAAACAGGTCAAACTTTTCTGAAACTCCTATTGAAATTTCACCAGATAAACCTGATGTTCCTGCTACCCCATCTTGTGTGCCTGTTAGTTCTGAAAATTTAACTGCTTTGGATTCCGAAAAGCCTCTTGTAGATGTTGAATCTTTATCTCTGCCTTTGAGTGAATCTGTTGGTATGAAAAATGATGTCTTGCATGTGCCTGATGAGAAAGCAAAGTCCTCTGATGAGCTAAATCCACTGAGTTTAGTCGTTTATTCTTCTGATCCTATTGCTCTGCCTTCTGCTGAGAATGTTGATGTCTCTAAAGAAACTTGCTCTGCTGTTGATACTCCTATTTTACCTGCTACTGTTGAATCTGTTGATTTATCAAGCCCCCACAAGTCTGAGAAAACAGGTGGAATTCCTGTTTATACTGCAACATCTTTAGGAGAAAGTCTGGAACATGTGCGACACTTTGCTGGGCTACCATCTGATACCATCCCTCAACCATATCGAGTGATTCATCCTTCCGAATCCTCCAGTGAAGATGATAAAATACTGGCTGAAGTGTATGGATCTCAAGCACTTCAATCTGATGCTCCAACTGTTGAGGCAACTGCTCATCCTGACTCCACGAATTTCAAAATTCGAGAGATTTCGAATATTATTGGAAGCTCGTCTGCAAATATTTCTGATTCTAGCCACTTTGTGAATCCGGTTCAGTCCCCAACCAAGGAAACAAGACGGTCAAAAAGGAAGAATGTCCCAGTAAAGGTTGTTGTTGAGACAGGTGATGATAATGCTGATGTGGATCAGCCTGAGAAGAAGAGAAAGTCGAGTGAGAATGTTAAACCTAAAGGAAACCCGCCTGTTCAACAAGTGTTCAAGACTCTGCGATCGTCTGTTAAGCAGAAAGGTTCTACTGCTGTTCAAGCTACCTCTGTACCAGCCCCTTCTGTCAAAAAAGGGAAGCCATCCACACGATCAAGAGGACGAAGTGTCACTCCTGAGGTCCCACCTGTTGAAGAAACTGACCCATCTGTTTACCAGCCACAGTTTGTATCTCCTGCTGCACAGACCAAATGGGCCACTATGGTTAGAAGGGAACTTATTGTTCAAAGATCGGTGGACGAGAACCAAATGAACTCCGTTTGTGACATTCTGCCCTTGCTGAATGAAGTCGGATTGTTGAAAACTGTCACGGACGTCTGCCCTTACTCTAAGCTGCTCACATATGAATTCTATTGCAATCTCAATGATGAGATTGACGTTCTCACAGGGCCACGACCGATGCAGATCTTTATCAGAGGAAGATGGTATGTTTTTGGGCCGGATATGATTAATGAGTATTATGGCTTGCCAGCAGTTCAAGAAGAAGCTGTTACTGACTGGGACTTAGTTGCCAGAACTCTGACCGGTGGGTAGACAAAATCATGGCCTATGGGTGACAAGGACTATCTGCAAAGCTCCCATCTCACGTCTAGATATGTGATTTTACACCGCCTAGCTCTTCACAACTGGCTCCCATCAGCTCATTTTCACACAGTTGGCAAGCTTCTGGCTGGGTTCTTGTTTCGAATTGGAACAAAGATGCAACTTGATCTGGGCAAATGGATTTACTATCACATTCTCACCCTGATTCACCCACGCGAACAGAAGGTAAGACTACCCTTCCCAAATCTGATTTTTGGCATCCTTACCACTCAGGGCCTTGAGCCTATGCCCAGTGAAGTGATTAGCCCAACGTTGCTCTATACTGTTGATAAACGTCTTCTGTCTGGAGATCACATTCGGGATGTTGTTCCTGTGACTGCCCCATCCAATTCTGAACCCGGTGTTGTGCCTGATGACTGTCCTCATGCTAAGGATGTTCAGCTTTCCATACAATTGAAGGCAAGAGTTGCTGACCTTGAGACGGTGCATAGCATTATTGCAAAGCAACTGACAGGAGCCCGTACTGAGCTGGCCACTGTTCTTCTTCGGTTGAGCCTGACTGAAGCTACTGCTGCTGCCGACCCTGTGAAGTCTGACAGTGACTCTCCCTCCAATGCTTAATCTTTGGCTACCATTGGCAAAAAGGGGGAGTAGTATGAACTCAGGGGGAGTGTTTTTGGTGTTTTTTGTTTGAAGTACCTTCTGGCCCTGGCTTGGCGTTGTGTTTTTTATCCTAAGCTGTTTTTGATCCTATGTTTTTGCTTTTATTCTATGTAATCTGTTCGGACATATGTGTTGCTTCGTTATAATAACCTATCTTAGTTCATTATGGTTGTAGTCGAATTGTTTTGCCAAATAATAGCCATAGGGGGAGTTTGTTAGTGTTTTTATATGTCCAAAAACCCCATATTATAATTGGCAATATTATTATGGCATACTAAGATAGGTTTAGAGTCTGTTCGTTTGGTTCTACAGCTAACTGATCAATCAGAAGCAACAACAGAAGAACTGACACTAAAGATCTGATTTAGGAAGCTGTTTCCTTAAAAGGCTCACGCGGTTTTATCAGACCGGTATGGAAAGATGATCAGCGTATATTTTCAAGAAAGGTATGGACCTAATCTTCTGAGATTACATTCCTACCTTCTACAATCAAAGTCAACTATGGGGAGTGTTTATTGAAGGATCTATAAGTACCCTTATTTGACAAGAATTAGGGTTACGCCGAAAATAAGAAGAAACACTCCATATCTGCTATATGAGACTAGAACTTTGATTGACATGTGACTTCTCAGTACAATATGTTCATGGTGATTAAGATGATGAACTTGAGAAAAGATACTGCTGCTTAAATCGAGAGGACACTGTGATCACACTGTTGTGGGAACAACCTTATAGAGCGTCATTGAAGTGGACTGCATCAGAGTGGGCTCTCCAAGTGAAGGGATTTCATTGGACTTCTGAATGCATGCTCTCCATCTTCAACAATCCACTAAACCTGTGTAGACTGGGTTTGTACCTTGTGT